ATCATCATCATCATCATCATCATCATCATCATCATCATCATCTTTAGCAAACTTGAAACAGTTAAATCTATACTGCATTCAGCCACTGCTGTAACTGAGACACTTAATACCTTACTTCCTTCGAGTTCTTCCTTGGTGGAAACGCTGCTAAGCCTAGCCTCTGAGAGCACAAATTCCCCAACAAATAAAAAAGTTGAAGGTGTGCCAGTCCAAAGCAAAACTACAGTACATAAAAGAAAAGGACACCCAGAAGGTCAATGTAGCACGATCTTCACATAACTATTTGGAGGATAAGTCCGATTTGGGCAGGTCTCTGCTATTAGCCCTCAATCTGATCTCACTTGTCCTCAGGCTCAGCAATTAGAAAATGAGAAGGATGGGCTGAGTCTACTGTCATTAGCAGTAGCTACTGGGCTCACAGATACAGAGTGGTCAGTACCAGATCAGAGTTTGCTGAAGATTGACTCCTATGATAAACAAGATCAACAATCACAAATTAGGGAAAGGAAAGCTGAACTTTATAATAACAGTGTATAGATGGGAAGTTTTGAGAATGTTGTTCCAGCCCCAGAAACAAACTGACTGTCTGAATCTTTGTCCTCAAGCCAATGATCCTATTCAGATATGTGTGTGTGTGTATATATATAAACAGTATTAACAGTTTTTGGACAGAATGACTATGACAGAAACATGTCAATACTGCAAATTATCCATTCTCAAAAGACATCTCTAGAGTTTATTACTATTTTGTATCAACCTCAACGTAATTCAGGGGCTCAACAGCTTAAAATACACACCTCTCTATAATTACATGATTAAAAAAATGGGCTAAAAATATCTTGAATTACCAGAAGCAAAACAAAAGCATCACTGAATTTGGAAGAGTTTCCAGAGCAGGGAACCCCAAAGTCACAAACCAGAAAAGGAAATATTGAACAGATAGACAAAGATAGGAAATAGTGTGGTTACTGGGTGTGACTATCAGAATATCCATGGCTCTCTTTCAATCTGTTGTGTGTTCCTCCCCTGCATCCTTGTCTTCATGTATATTGTCACATGAGAGCATTTGAATATCTTCTCTGAAACTTTCATTGCTTCCCTACCAAATGATCGCCTGCATCATATCTCCTGAGTGCTGGTTCCTTCACTATTGATAGATGACCCTCAAAGGCAAAATCTACCACACGCTTCAGCATCTCCTTAATCAATTCTAAGGCTTAGTGCAACATGTTAATCTGTTGTTGTTGTTTTTTAAAAAACTATACAGTGGTACCTTGGGTAACGAACGCCTCTGCTTACGAACTTTTCGGGTTGTGACCAGCTCCGGCCGCAAAAATTTACCTCGGTTTGCGAACTCCGCCTCGGGGTATGAACCGGATCCACGGCCATTTTCCGCCGTTACACGTGGTCCGTGGCCATTTTCCACCGTGACACGTGGTCCACGGCCATTTTCCGCCTGTGCCACGTGGTCCGCGGCCGTTTTTCCGCCCTGCCACGCGGTCCGCGGCCGTTTTTCTGCCCGTGCCACATGGTCTGCAGCCATTTTTCCGCCCTGCCGCGTGGTCCGCGGCTGTTTTTCCGCCCTGCCGCGTG